TGCGTCCATTTCCTACTCCAGTCTTTGCAACATTTCTTAGCTGTTTCTTACTCCTGAAAGTATCTTTATACCTAGCATATACAAATCTTTCCCCCTCCTCATTAGATCACTCTTAAAGGCTGTTTTATAGCAGAGGCTTTAAACACAATTCTTGTCAGTCAAAAGCCTTCTCTATCACACTGTTATATAACCAGTGATATATACCATTATCATATGAGCAATGGAAAAAGTAACTGTCTTTAAAAAGCCTCATAAATGGACGTCTCCTGACGTGTTTTATCTTTTCAGCTTCTTGTATGGAACAAAATACATTGCTAGCACCAGATGATAAACAAATAATACCTTAGTTGGAATTAAGAAGAAAATATTTATTTGAGTATGTAACATTTGTTCTCCAACAAAGCTTAAAGGTGTACAGAAGGGTAAAAACGAATAACAATTGATACAATTTTCAGCTGCTTAACCTGAACAGAACCAGAAGATAATCTTGGTTTCAGATTAACAGGCCTGAAAAATATATGTAAAATATTTAGCATCTGGAGTGAACCATAAAAGCTACAATATGACAACAGATATAGCATTGTCAGATAAAACCAGCGGATCATCTGGTATAGACAAAATGAAAATGAAATATTTAAAGGAAATGCAGAAGCACAGTTTGAAATACTACCCAAAATGTCAACAAAATATCAGTGTAGAAACTGGTAAGGACAATCAGTAACTGTTTTAAAGGAAAATTGACCTAGAGAAAACATTTAGCTTGTGGTGACACAATCCTATAAAATTTTTGCTAAAACAACTTGGAAAAAGTGGGTAAAGGTTTAGAGCCTTCACTAACTCAGAACAGTCTAGGCAGAGTGACATATTTTTGGCATGTTGTCACTTCAAGAAGCTGCTGCAAGACTGAGCTGTTCCCTCCAATAGAACATGTTAAATTTCTCTCAGCATCACACTGAGTAAGTAGGGAAATGTGAAATGAGACAAGTCTGTGAAGACAGTCTACAATTAAATACTACTGTATTAGCCCTGTGACTTGGGAATGGGGGGAAGGAGCAGCAGAATCATCTATAAGTGGAGGAGGAAACTTTCCAGTTGCTACTGGAAGGACTTGTAAACCGGAAAACTTTGGCAGTGAATGCCAACAGTTAACGCAAAACAAAAACGCGGTGAGGAACTGCAGAATAGCATCACTGTGTAGGAAGTTTTGTCAGTAACCTGGGATGCTTACAAGTGAAAGACAACCACTAATAAAACCCAAATAAGCTCTCCTAGGAGCAGGCACAGAAACTCAACTGAACCAGTCAGACAGGGTTATATAGTATATGAAAGTATCAAGAAGTTGAAATTGCAGTAACTTATTTCAATTTAATTGCCTCTACCTTTATTCAAATTTAGCATTTTTTTAAGCAGTGGAATGAACTAACCTGAAGGAAATGGCTTGTATTTGATCCTGTGCCACTCCTCCAGCCTGTCTTCAGTAAAAATCCTCCAATTCCAGCAACAGAAAACCTGTGTGTTCTGTGAAAACTTAAATGTCTTCATACTATTATTTTCATGTAATGAAATGATACATAAGAAAGACAAGAAATATTTCTAAGAATATTCAGTTCAGTGGACATACTGTTATTACGCAGGTTGTTAACAGCTTGCCTTTTAATGATAGCATTAACTACCTGTTGCGAAGAAATATTAGGATTGGAAAATGACACCAGTATGGAAAAGTGTGAAAAAGAATTTCTTTACATGCTGAATTATGATTTGATGCATTTGATTGTGTACCAGTCTTCATAAAGAAAATCAAACTCCGACATCTTTGCTATCACAGATGCTCAAACCAATAGTGAGATGCAAAGAAGTTACTACAATATACAACTGCCTACTTCCCCCAGAGCTCAAAATCTAAAGTCTAGGAATCAAGACATATATTACAGATGTAAAGGATCATATTTTACATCCCAATTGCCTTGAGTAAGTCTCCACAGCATGTAAAAAAAAATACCGACGTTGCAAATAAAAACACAATTACTAAAGACTCCTTTCTACATGATTTTTTAATTTTTATTTTTTGGGTGGCTAGAACAAGGATCTAAATTAAATAGTTTCTCTGATTTCTGTAAAACTCATAAAAGCCTTCAATAACATTTCACCAAAATCTGACATCTCATTTTTTTGTAGTATGAGCCCAAAATAAACTTGTTTTCCTCCAATTAAAATGTTTTAGAGATTCCTTTATTTAAACCCCTCTGTTCTTACTTTAGCAAGAACAAAACAAAATTATAACAGTTAACTTCACATACAGAGAACAGATGAAGCTATAGCTTCAGGAATTCTGTCATTACATAGGCTGCATCAGAAGAAAATCAGCATTATCCTTAACTTCAAGGACAAGGTCAAGATGTTAATTGGAGTTCTGTAAAAGCACTGAAAGTACTTCATCCAGTTTTGACCACAAAGGATCACTTCTCAGGCTTTTGGCTAAAATCAAGTGTGGTGTAGTACTGATCACTGTGTTGAAAAGATAAATGTCTCTGAAGTTAGTACTATACCACATTAAAGAGAAGAGAAAGAAAAAGCTTCCTTTCAAATATCAATATATATACAGATGAGATCCCCAGTCTTTTCTTTTTCTTATGAAAACTTTACAAATGACCCATTAGCAAATACTACTAAAGTCCCAAGCACTCAGTGCAAGTGTGGGATGGAAAAATTTCTTCCATAAAATAATTATTAAAATAATTATTCCATAAATATTAAATAATTCAAATAGCTAAATTTTTATATGTAATTATTTTTATTATTAATTATCTTAACATTCAATTCTCATAATTATAATTTTATTAATGTAAATATTTAATATTTTATATTAATCAATTTAAATATTTAGTAATTGTTAAAATAATTATTCCATAAAATTATTATTAAAGTAATTATTATTCACAGCCATCATCTACATCCATGTAGAGGACAGCTGTGAATAACATGAAACTCATAGAACATTCTGTAAGTGCTCATAAGGTCCTC